CATCGGAGATGCAGAGGGCCCGCATCGCGGGCCCATTGGATTGCGGCCCGCGTCTCGCATGGGGGTCTCCCTCCTGACAGCTCCATACGTTTGGCCCGGATGTGCCCCTTCCAAACCTCCAATGACTCACGACGCATCATACTACCGAGTACAGGGTCGATAGTCATGCCGATCGACAGGACGGTTACCGAAAAACTCAGTATGATCTGGGGTCCACTCCAAACACGCCTGGATATCCCCTGGTCGTCGTCGTCCGCAACATAGGTTTAGGATGGAATGTTCTGTCCGTCGGATAGCACTGGGGAAACCCTGCGCAGCCGTGTGAGTATACCGCTCGGTCAGAAGCATCCGTGTCTGACGCCGGTCGGTCTGGGCAGGCGGGCGGAGGGCTGGTTGTTCGGCATCGTCCTGGTCAGTGGGCAGCATGTGCCTCTGGCCTAAGGTAAGGGGTCGCTTTCCAATAGCACCTGACGGGCATAGGCGTGCGGCACGAGAGCTGCAACGTCAGTGGCAGTCTGCGAAGGGGGCCGGGTGCACGCGTGGTAGGGACAACTGCGCGGCGTCGTGGAATGCACATGTGGTTGGCGTGGCCGGCATGTTGGGCAGGTCGAAGTGGGTCTTGTAGTTTGGTAGCCTTGGTTGTCCATTGTAGATACGTCCACTAGCAGGCACCTAGGGGAATCGATCGACTGATGGTCCATAGGATGAGGCCGGGCGTTGAACTTCAGCATACATACCGTGAACACACCATGTGCCCAGCGTACCCACGCGCGAGCGTCGCAAGTTGTCGATGCATGCGTGCCACGTGCGTGCGCAGCGCACGATGTCGAGCAAAAACCTCTCCGCACCATGGAGACTCCATGCGCGGCAAGGCCGTCGGCGTCGGTGGTGGCACAAGTAGGCCTCGTTCATCAGTGTACACACACGGGAGGGCACTCCTGCTGCATGTACTTCTGTAAAGAATAGTCTCCATATGTAGTGCAAGTGTGATCCTGGATTGGTTGATGCACTTCCCGGCGGGCTGGCTACGTCGTATAAAGACCTCCCAGGGCTTCAAGTCATTAGCTGGTGGGGGAAGGTCCTGGCACTGCTTAACCGCGAGACGCAACCATGTAAGGTGCTTGATCCACTGGCCCAAGGTCGTACGCTGTCGAGCCTGGTCGTCGGAAGCTGCGAGCCATTCAGCCGTCACGATGGCAAAGGCCAGTTTAGTCCCAATGTAATACAAGGGTCCCAAGAGTCGGAGCCGGGCCGCACGAAGGGTATCTGGGGCAAGCCTGCGCAACCTAGCGAGCACCAGGGCGCCGGAAACTTGAGAGGCATCCTCCTGAAAACGAGCACGTGCGGCAGCACGGTATTTTTTCATGGCCCCGATATGCGCCAATTTGGCTTCTGATGTCGTGAGAGCGGGCCACGCGCTGGCATTACGTTGTCGTCCCGACATGACGAGGCTACTCGCAAGCACAAGCCGATGGTGTATGGAAAGGTCGTCGGACGCAAAGACGCGACGACGGAGGACCTGTACCCACGAGGGGGAGGATGGAGGAGGAGTCGGAGGAGGATGATGATTATGATGATCAGGAGGAGGAGGAGGTGGAGGAGGAGGAGGAGGAGGAGGAGGGGGAGGGGGAGGGGGAGGGGGGGGGGGGGAGGAGGGAGGAGGGGGAGGGGGAGGAGGAAGCTGGAGGAGGAGGAGGAGGAGGAGGAGGAGGAGGAATAGGCGGATGAGGAAGGGAAGAGGGCAAGCAGAAAAGCCAGAGGCTTCTTGTGTGCCTCTCCGTGTCTCTTCGGATCTCTCTTGAAAGTTTCTTGCAGGCCTCTTGGTTCGTCTTGGAAGCCTCTTGGCGGTCGCGGGGACCTTGGACATCTCGGGGAGCGTCTTGGGTGTCTCGGGTTATCCTCTTGGGGCCTGTTGGGGTCCTTTTGGGGGCCTCTTGGGGCCTCCTGGGCGCCTCTTGGGCCCTCTTGGGTCACTCTTGGGAACCTTATCGCCATCTTGGGGCCATCTAGGAGAAGTTCGATCAAAGAAAAGGGGGTCCTTGATTAGGTTTCCCCCTCAGGATGCCGAAATGGGCCCAACACCTTAGTGACATCAATGATTTGGGCTTTCTCGCCGAGGCCAGAAGAAGACCCCCTGACACCTCACGGGGCGCCCCGTCCAGGTCCAGGGGTCCAGGTCCAGGGGGAGGGGACATGTGGAGGGGGTCAAGACACACTCCGTGCCCGCAAGCCGTCTCGCTCACTCCCACCCGCCCTCCCAACGCATAAGTAGCACCCAGGCATCAGCATGTTCCGCGGTCTTCTTTGGATGGACAGCTCATGGGAACCAAACCGGATCCCGGGTGCGCATCGCTGTGGCGAGGTGCGCCACGCGTGCCAGGCTCACCACGCGCGCCAGGTGCGCCAGGTACCCCTGTGGCGCAAGCGTGCCAGGCACGCCTGGTGCGCCAGATGTGCCACGTGATCCACGTGCGCCATGTGTGCCGCATGCTCCAGCCGCGCCAGGTGCGCCACGTTCGGGGCACGCGCAGCGTGTGCCAGATGCGCCTGCGCACGTGGCAGTGCACAACGGGACACGTGTCGGTCCCCACCACGCTTGTCGAAAACCAGTGCGCAATGGCGGCAGGGTGGCCATCATAGCGTTTGGTGGGCCTGCACACAGCAGGCAATATGCCAGCACCCCCGCCGTCCCAGTCAAAATCCCATGCGCAGTGATCTCGGGGTGCCCGCGCATGATCCAGTTTTTGCCTCGAAGTGCACTTTGGCAGGGATGCTGGCCCTGCGCACAGCAGGCAATATGTGGGCACGCCCGCCGTCCCTGACACAAAGCAAAACAAAGTGCTCGCGGCCTCCCTGATCATGACCCAAGACTTTTCCCCGAAGTGGATTGTACATTGTTTTTGCGAACGGATGGTGAGGGGGGGGAGGGGGTGTTCACCCATAGGGAACAGCGATCAATCTACCTTTCGCTGACTCCCACCCGCCCTCCCAACGCATAAGTGGCACCCAGGCATCAGCATGTTCAGTGGCCGTCTTTGGATGGGCAGCTCATGGGAACCAAACCGGATCCCGTATGCGCGTCGCTGGGGCGAGGTGCGCCACACGTGTCAGACGCGCCACGCGATTCAGGTGCGCCAGGCATTCGTGCGGCCTAAGCGTGCCAGGCACGCCTGGTGCGCCATATGCGCCACGTGATCTCCTTGCGCCATGTGTGCCGCATGCTCCAGCCGCGCCAGGTGCGCCACGTTCGGGGCACTCGCAGCGTGTGCCAGGTGCGCCTGCGTACGTGGCAGTCCACAACGGGAAACGTGTCGGTCCCCACCACCCTTGTCGAAAACCAGTGCGCAATGGCGGCAGGGTGGCCATCATAGCGTTTGGTGGGCCTGCACACAGCAGGCAATATGCCAGCACCCCCGCCGTCCCAGTCAAAATCCCATGCGCAGTGATCTCGGGGTGTCCGCGCATGATCCAGTTTTTGCCTCGAAGTGCATGTGGTAGTGTGTTTTGATAGGGATGCTGGCCCTGCGCGCAGAAGGCAATATGCGGGCACCCCCGCCGTTCCTGTCACAAAGCAATACAAAGTGCTCGCGCCCCCCCCGATCATGACCCAAAATTTTGCTCCAAAGTGGATTGTACATTGTTTTTTGACAGGGATGGTTTGGGGGGTCCTCATTGGTCCTGGTTGGCTGCCAGTCGCCTGGGGGAGGGGGTCTTTCTCAGTAGGGCACGGTCATAAACCCCTCCCCGCAGCGGAAGAAGGGAGGTTTGAAGAGGAAGCTCCCAAAACCACTCCCGCCCCTCAGGGCGGGTCGGAATTCACACAATGTTTCTCGGTCTTCTAATTCTGGCAATTGTGGCTTCAATTCGCCTCATGCCGTCTTTAGTGTACTCGTCTGTCTTTCATATCAATCATGCTAACTGTCGCAGCTAGGTCAAAGCTTACTGACCATCTCACAATCTTTATGGGCATCTCACGATATCATGCGCCATCTGACCATCTCACGGTATTTCGGGCGCTCCAGAAGCGGCCTCGCCTTCGGGGCATCCCGCTTTTGGCAGAAGCCAGCGGAAGCAAAGCGGGGGCGGCGTTCCTGGCCAAAGCCGGCAGAGGGCCGGCGGAAGTTGCCAGAAGTAGAAGTCGATCCTCGAAGAGATGCGCATGTTTTGAGGGTCAGGGCTGCTGGAATGAGCCGTGCATGGAGCATCCTCGGGATTATCTCGGGGCAGCCACGAGGCAGCCACGGGAAGATCTCTAGGCAACCGCACGGGACAACCACGGAACAACAACGAGACATCAGCACAGGAGTAGACTTTGGCTGTTTTTGGGGGCGCCTGTTTTTTGGGCTGGCGGAGTCTCCCCCCCATTGGGACGCACTACTGCAAACCGCCGCGTTAAGCATGGGTCCGGAGCCAGACCCGCCCCCCCTTCCCCCCCCCCCCCCTAGGACCAATGTCGAAACGCCGAAGATGAAAACGTTCACCAGGGCAACCGCACAGGGCGACCAGGACAAGGTCTACGTCGATGCGAGCGATCCGATTCGACATCGGCTCTGGCCAGCTCGATCCGGTTCGATTCCGATGTTCTGATGATCTCATGCTGTCTGATGCTTGCATCGCTTTTGTGCACCTTGGCGCGGCGGATTCGCTTATATTCCGACTCCGTGTCGATGCGGCCAGGAGGAGGAGGAGGAGGAGGAGGAGGAGGAGGAGGAGGAGGAGGAGGAGGAGGAGGGAGGAGGAGGAGGAGGAGGAGGAGGAGGAGGGGAGGCGGAGGCGGAGGGGGAGGAGGAGGAGGAGGAGGGAGGAGGAGGAGGAGGAGGAGGAGGAGGAGGAGGAGGAGGAGGAGGAGGAGGAGGAGGAGGAGAGGGAGGAGGAGGAGGAGGAGGGAGGAGGAGGTGAGGAGGAGGAGGAGGAGAGGAGGAGGTGGAGGAGGAGGAGGTGGAGGAGGAGGAGGAGGAGGAGGAGGAGAAAACGAGGAGCGCGTGCAGCGGCGCCCACAGGAGGGGGGCTCCGGAACGCCCTCTGAAAGCTCTTCCTCGCGGCCCAGGCAGGCTTCTTCCGTTCTCGCCCTCCCCACCGGGCCCTGGCTTCTTGTAGTGCCCTTGCTCCCTTGCTCCCCCTTTCCGACCTCTGTCTCCCTCCCCCCGTCACCCTCTCCCCGCTTCCCACCTCCCCTTCCCGCCCTCCGTGCCCCCCCCCCTCTCGCTCCCTCGCTCTCCCCCCTTCCTGCCACCTCCTCCGTCGCCACAACACCCCCCCCTGCCTCCAGGCCCCCACCCCGCTCGGCCAGCCCCCGCGTGTCTCCCCCCCACTGCCTCCGAGCCCCCCCCCTCTCCCCGCCCCACGCCCCCCCTGGAGGCGGAGGACCAAGACCTTGAGGCGTCGGCCCAGAGCGCGCTGGCACGCCCTCGGAGCGCCCCGGAGCGCTCTAGAACGGCGGTGGCGCCCGATATATCTCGGGGGCTCCCAAACGGGGTGGTGACCACACCGTGCGGTGAGTCGGTGGGGTTCTGGGGTCACCGCGCGGTTTTGGGACTCGGGTCGTTCTCCGAGGATGTCTCGGGCGACAGGGGCCTCCGGGGTTCCAAGACCGAGGGGTGACGGACCGTGCGGTGAGGTCTTGGGGGATTTCGAGGTCACCGCACGGTCTGTCGCCGCACCGTTTCGGGACTCCAAAGTATCCTACAGAGCCGCCGGATCTCGGAGAGCCACGAGTCTTCTGCCGGTCCGGTCTCGTCCCCGTCCCAGCCTCGTCTCATTGGCGCGGGTGGGCGCCCTGTGATGGCCCACGTCCGCCATGCATCCCCATCCCTCGAGTAGGGGAGCGACTACGGTAGGTTCGCGTCGTGTCGACCCGCGGCGACCCCCGCCCGCGGCGTTTAACGTTGAATGCCGCCGGCGACCCAGAATCGGTCGATGTTGAACGATTGGACGTTGCGGGAACGGCCGATCGTTCAAGGTTGAACGATCCCCGCGGTGTCAGAAACCAACGCTGGGGTCGACACGACGCGAACCTGCCGTACGGAGTTGATTTACCCCCCAATTGATGCCCTCGTCGAATCTCCAAAAAGGGCGCCGTGTTTTTCGTGGGTTCGGCGAGGAACCGGACCCTACTCGAATCCACCGTCGGCGCGCCCCGCCCGCGGGGGCCTCCGAGGGCGCCCGGGGCCGGCGGGGAGTGTCCAGGCCTCCCAGGGGGTGCCCGAGCAGGCGGGGTCGGAGGATGGCGCCGCATCTCAAAGAGAACGCTGTGAAGATGAACTTTTGGCGCTCCGCGCGGATTTCTGGGATCCGCGCTGGGCCCCCCTGGCAGCGCCTCTGGCGCCGATCCTGGCGCGCTCCGCGCGCCAGGGAGGGGGGTCCAGCGCAGATCCAAGAAGTCCGCGCGGAGCGCCAAGATGATCTCTTTTTTTGTGTAATTTGGTTTCTGGCATCGCCGATGCATCGGCGATGCGGCTCGATGTGGAGCCCAGGTTTCTCCATGCCGCCGTCGCCGATGGATCGCCGATGCATCGCCGATGCATCGCCGGTGCGTCGGCGGTGCGGTGCAGCCCCCCGACCCCAGGGGCTCGGGCCCAAGCTGGGAGGCCTCCAGAGAAGAGGACGGTGGGAGGGCGGGAAGGAACGCCAGGAAGGGAAGCAAGGGCTCCCTCGAGGGCGCGAAGTTATTCGCGCTTCGCGCTTCGCGGTCCTCGTTCCTTCTCCCCCTCCTCCTCGTCCTCCTATTCTCCCTTTGGGAGGGCGGCGCGAGAGCGCGAAGTTATTCGTGCTTCGCGCTTCGCGCAGCGCGAAGCGCGAAGTTGGGAGCCCTAGGGAAGAGGCCCTGAGGGGAAAGGGGTCCAGAGTTCTGTCGTGCCTTTTTGGGCCTCCTGGGCCCTCCACGGGCCCCAGGGTTGTCACGAGGCACGTCCTGGGGACAAGCGTCGGGATGCTGGGCCCGCTTCCCTCGGGACCCTTTTGTCTTCAGGCCAGGAAACGGAGGAAGAGGCGGAGGAGGAGGGGGGTTCGGCAGGACGCGGCGTCTCTGGAATGGCCCCTGGAGTGGATTTTGGATTGCGCTCTGATTCGCCGAGGAGACGGTCAGCCTGGTGCGGCACTCACTAGTTGCTGGCAGAAACACGCGTAAGGAGTGAGGGCGTGGAAGGGGCGAGTCCGATTCAGCTTTTTTCTGCACCCCTCCCTGATTCAGAATCGGGGGGAAGCGGGGCATGAGGCCTCTGATGAGAGTCGTGGAGTCATATCCGGGGTCTCGTGGGGCCTCTTGGAGGCTTCTTGGAGCCTCTTGGCGCCGCCTCCGTGGCCTTTGGGGGGCTCTTGGGGCCATCTTGGGGTGGAGGGCTCGAAAACCTATCGTTTTCCCCCTCTTGGGCGCCCCCGTGGGGCCGTCTTTGTGGCCCTCTTGAGCTCGTCTTTGTACCCTCTCGGGCCGTCTCAGGGCCTTCTTGGGGGTCTCTTGGGCCGTGTTCGGGCGATCTTGGGTGCGTCTTGTCCCAGTAATGGAGCGCTACAAGCTCGAAAAGGCTAGAATGCAATGACTTTCGCCTCTTGTGGCCCTCTTGATGCGTCTTCCTTGGGGTCCTCTGAGGCCGTCTTGAGGCTATCTTGGGTCGTCTTTAAGCGCTCTCGAGCCGTCTCGGAGCCCGCTTGGACTGTCTGGGGTGCCTCTTGGGGCCTCTTGGCCTCATCTTGGGGCCTTGTGTCCTCAGGGAACGTCTAGCGGTATCATGCGGGATCGTGCGAGATCCGCCAGTAAATCTATCAGCTGGGCCCCTGGGCTCCTGAACGGGCCCAGTGTGCTCACCGAGTAGGGAACTGGCCTGCCAACGGGTGCCCTACGACACTTTCTTATCGCCCGACGGGCCCGCAGAGCCGTGCGACATCGCACGGAGCTCACCGTCTTCGAAGGACGTGCCCCCTACACTCATCATGGCAAGATTTCTTATTGTATGCGCCTGCTTAGAACACTTTCGGCATGCCTCCCGACGGGTGAGGAAGGCAGGCCGAGGACATGGCCGAAGCAATGCCGTGCCTTTTTTCAGCTGTGTCGTTCCAGCCCGCTTCAGAGGGAGAGCGCTCAGCGTCAGCTGTTCCAGCGGCACGAGCGTAGGCCGTTTGGTACCCATTTCTTATACCAGCTGGCGGCCTTGCGGTTGATCGGGAGTTTCTGTATCCAGCTGCCTGCGGCAAGTCCCGCCACCGAGACAGCTAAACATTTTCGGCGGCGCCGTTTCGAGGGTTCACGGGAGGCCGTCGCGTGTGATACCTCGTGTTTCCAGGTTTGGGGGAGACGTAACGAGGATGCTGATTCTTACGATGATGGTGATGATGGTGATGATGGTGATGATGATGGTACTGATTCGGAGGAAGGTTGAGAGTATGAGGATGATGATGATGACGACGATGATGATGATGATGAGAATGATGATGATCACCATCATGAACATGATGATGACGCTGATGATGATGGCGATCACGATGATGCTGATGAGGACGACGACGAGGATACGATGCGGATGAGGAGGATTCTGATAACGCTGATGTTGGTACTGACGATGATGATGACGATACTAGTTATGATAACGACGATGATGATGCTGATGCTCATGCTGATGCTGATGCTGATGCTGATGATGATGATGATGCTGATGATGATGATGATGATGATGATGATGATGATACTGTTGCTCATGATTATGATGCTGATGATGATGATGCTGATGCTGATGATGATGTTGATTCGGCCGATGATGATGAAAAAGCTGCTGATGATGCTGAGGAATACGATGATCATGATGATGACTATGGTGATGCTGATGATGATGATGATGATGATGATGATGATGATGATGGTGGTGGTGGTGGTGATGACGACGACGATGATGCTGCTGATGGTGATGGCGATGATGCTGATGAGGACGAGGATCAAGATGAGGATGCGTCTGGGGAGGAGGATGACGACAATGTTGATAACGATGCCAGCGATGCTGATGATGGTGATGAGATGACAATTAGAGCGAGCCTGATGATGCTGATTCTGGTGCTGATTATTTTGATGCTGATGATGATGACGATGCTGATGATGAGGATGATGCTGATGATGCTGCTGATGATGATGATGATGATGATAATGATGATGATTCCGAGGAGGATGCTGATGAAAATGAGGATTAGGATGACGATGATTCGGAGGATGATGATGAGGATGAGGATGAGGATGATGATTATCATGATGATGGTACTATTGGTGGTGGTGATGGTGACGATGATTCTTATGATGATTGTGATGATGATGATGATGCTGATGATGATGATGATGATGATGATGATGATATTGGTGATGATGAAGCTGATGATGATGACCATGATGATAACGCCAGCAACGACGATGATGCTGATAATAATGACGATTATGCAAATGCTGATGAGGACGAGGGTCAGGATGGGGATGAGGACGATGAGGGTATTGATGGTGATGCTGGTGATTTTGATGATGGCGATGATGGTGATGGTGATGATGATGATGATGATGATGATGATGATGATTATGATCATGACGATGATGACGACGATGATGATGATGATGACGATGATGATGATTCGGAGGATGATTCGCAGGATGAGAATGAGGATAGAGATGAGGACGAGGATGAGGATGAGGATGAGGATGATGATGATGCTGATGACGATGATGATGTCGACGTCGATTACGATGATGATGCTGATGATGATGATGATGATGATGATGATGATGATGGTGATGACGATGAATCGGTTGAAGACGATCACGAGGACAAGGATGAGGATGAGGAGGATGTGTATGATGATGTTGATGATGATGGTGATGCTGTTTAGGATGATGTTGATGACGACGATGACGACGATGCTGGTGACGACGATGATACTGATCACGATGATGCTGATGCTGATGATGCTGCTGCTGCTGATGATTATGCTGATGATGATTCAGAGGAAGATTGGGTGGATTATGATGATGATGAGGATGAGGATAAGAAAGAGGATGTTGATAATGATGATGATAATGATGAT